CTGGTACTGGTCAAGTGCTGAGGGACCATCATAAAATAATGAGGGCGCGTCCGAATACTACCTTATATATATGTGTGTATATTTATATATATATATATTCTTCTTTTATCGGCCACTACAAAACTGAACCTTATCGTTTTTTTTCACTCCTTATCGTTTTACAGGTCAACCGCTCTCTCAAGACACTCCTTACATAACGTAGACAAGCGGGGTTATTATACAACCCCAACTGGCTGCATGTTGCATTTGTGACTGCGACACCTCAACATAGCTACGCAAGAGCAGCTGCAAGATTCCCAGTCGTGCCCGTCGGTGGGCCCACAAGAAGCTCAACCACTCCCTGGGATTACAGGTTAAAATGCACCCCGGATGACCATCACGGCACTTGCGACAGCCAGTACAAGAATAAGTCTTTAGCGAGCAATAGCTCAAATCTGCCAAGCAGCGATTTGCATGACCCAGGGAAACCGGATTGTCGAGCATGTTGTAGTCCTGCGAATACTGTTGGCGCAGGGGGTCAATATTTGCATCTTATCCAGGCTTCTACCTCAACCCTTGGGATCCAAGTATACAAATACTACCTACATTGGGCCCCAGAGTCTGTAAATATTACCTACATGGGCCAATTTGGATCCCTAGGGTTAATACTTACTATAATTATTGGCTAGTCCGGGAATAAAGGGATATAAATTTCAGGATGAGGCTTGCGATATTGCACCATAAGCCAAGCTCAAACTCAAAGCATGACCGATGTGAGACTGAAGTTCCGTTGCTGTAGGTTTAGCGTTTGAGGTTTAGAGTTTAGGGTTTTGGGTTGAGGGTTAAGAGTGCTTAGGAGTCCTTAAGCCGATATCTAAAACGGCATGCAATGTTGGGAACCCTATCCACCCCACATGGGGTTCAAAATCAAAATGCTATTGAGACTGCCCCCAAGAAAGGGCCCTAAACCCTAAACCCTAAACCCTGAGCCTTAAACCCTAAACCCTAAGCCCTAAACCCTAAACCCTCCTGTAGGATAGGCTTCATCCGCTCAAAGTCGATGGATGCCTCCGCCATTCGCTCCGTACCTTGGCTACGTTTAAACATGCTTCCCCTCTCGCTCAGGGGTACCTTTAGTGTCCCTTGCCAATGTTGATTATAGGGATATTTTAGGGTTTAGGGCCGGTTTATAGGGATATGTTAGGGTTTAGGGCTTAGGGATCAAGATTTAGGGTTTCAGGTTCAGGGTTTAGGATCTGCTTTCTGGGACCCTGGGGTCACAACTGGGTCAGGTAGCCTAATGACGGGTAACAATGAGGTTATACTGAGCTTATTAAGGAGATATGATATGACCTAACTACAAAGCCTCCCAAAGTACGATCTTTACTGCTTGGCACGACACGCAAATTCCAACCTTTTGCAACTAGTATGTAGTGCTATGACGTTCTGACTGGTGTTATCGCGACATGGGAGCAAAGGCTTCTGAATCAGAGAACTTGCTCGTGCTAGTGCATACTACGATTGTTGTTTCAAGTATGACTAGACTAGTCAGTGGTAGATTGCTACTTGTCATTCGTACTGCTACTCCTTGGTGTCTTTTTGCTGCTGTTCTTCTGACAGTTCCCCCTGCGCCTGCAACCTCCCCCAAACAGGCCACCAACAACATACGCTAAGCGACGATTACTACTATCATTTCTATTGCTGTTCTTTTACTACCATTACTCCCACTCTTCACCAGCCAGGCCATCAGTGCTTTGAAATAGTGAAGCTCCGGGCACGTCGCAAGCATCTACAGGAATGCTGCGCGCAGCAAGCCTCAAACTGACTTTGGTGCCAAAGTCTCACTGAAACCCAGGAATTCCAAGCACGAAACCCCTATATACTCTCTTATAGTATCCCCGCTATAATCCCTTATGGTAGTCCCTAAATAACTTCTTATAGTAGCCCCTATAGAACCCTTTCTCCTTTTCCTTTCGAAACCTTAAGGAGGCATTAGGATTTTGCCCAGAGACGGCTCTTTGGCTTCGTGCCCTTCTCACCTTCCATTCATCGGGTTTAGGGTTGAGGATTTAGGGTTGTGGGCTTAAGGTCTAGGATTTGGTTTAGGGTACCAGTCTAGGGTTTAGGGGTCGCCGCTAAGGTAAGGAAGTTGAACTTACTAGTGGTTCGCAGGGAATAAGGGAATACATTCTAAAGGGATTATCAAGAGATTATACTCCCCAATCCCCTACTAACTGGACATATAGTACGCGATAAAAAAAGAAATACATGGAAAATAAGGGGGGCTCCTAATTATGGCAATCTAATCTTCGCTGACTCCCCGAAAGTCAACATGCCAGCCTGCCAAAAGATACCCAAACAATTAAAGTCCTAAGAGCCAGGGAAAAAGCAGCCAAGGAATTAGAATCGCAACAAACAAGTCCTGAAATATTTAAACATGAGGAAGCTACAAACCCCCTAAAGCCTCCAACAAAAAAAACATAAAGGCAATAATTATAGACTTCAGGGCCCAATGTAGGTAATCTTGATGGACTCAGAGCCCCAGGGACCTACATGCAGCAGCTGATGCTTAAACAAGATGTGGCCTCCATTTAGCAAGATCTGCGGTTTTGGGTCGGAGGCTTCCAAAATGATCATTCCAAGACCCAGATTTGGTCGGCTTCCAAAGTGATTTTCCAAGTGCCGGAAAAACAGTTAGGGTCTCATTTGGCAACATCTGTTGTTTTGGGGTCGTGGGGCCTGGAAAAAATCATCTGGCACCTGTCTGGGAAGCTCTCTGGTTTGGTTGGGTCGTAGGCAGGAATGGGAAGTTTCCTAGGCATTTTAAACAATTCGGCCTCCTCCTCGAATTGGTCAACCTGTGTCCCGAACCGCACCGTTTTACAGGTTACCGACACCACACCGAACCGAAGAGCGGCTTTCTTGAAGCATGTCGGGTACTTGCCACCGCGGGCCATAAGCTGAGATCTTGGCCTTCAGACGTTTCATTCACACACATTCCCAGACCGCGGAAATGTGATCTCCAAGGCTGGTCATGACCCGTTAGTCTCAAACTTTGAGGTGCGTAAACCCTGTACCCAGAAGCTCAAGATTCCTAAATGGCTGTTGAAAGCGGTAGGTCTCGAATCTAGACTGTTTCTATACCTGCAAAATACTTGAAGCTGCATCATAGGAGCTTTAGTCTAAACTCCTAGTATTCCCCCTTAGTAGCCCCTGTAATCCTCCCCTATATAATCCCCTATAGAACCCCTGTATGGAGTGTGGACTATAGCTCATAGGGATCCGTCCTGTAAGCACGGCCAAGCCTGCAGCTGCTCCTGCAATTCCCCCTGCGTTGGAGGCCCGGCGCGTCATCAGAACCATCCTGGTTCAGGTTGATCTTTCTGAAAATGCAATCTCACTTCCTTTGCGCTCTCTCAACGGGAAGTTCTCTTCCCTAGCGCGACCTACGTTGGGTTCACTAATAGTGGTATACTAGGAATATATATATATATATGTAGGTGGTTTTCAAAATTACGGTCCCTTTTTGGATCCCTATTATAATACGGCACCTAATATTTAGGGTACCCAAAAAGGGACCATAATTTTGACAACCACCCATATGCCCTACCATAATGACCTAGAATTCTGGCAGTCACTATTAGTGGGTGGGGGCCCAACCTAATCCCTGTTCATTGAGCTGATTCAGGCTTGGAATCGGCTTCCAGATGAAGGCTCCCATAGGGGAGCCCATAAATGGTGGACTCTTATTACCATCATGATTGCTATTGTCGTTATTAACTATTACTGTTCCTATGATTGCAATTTTCACTATCATCACTTTTACTACTAGCATTCGTATTATGATTATTCTTACTACTACTCTGGGCTCCAACCTACACATTAAACACTATAGGCGCCACTATAGGCACTCCCAAGAGGCTCGCCTGGGACAGAGCAGCCAAAAGTCCTTTGCAACGGAGCTACCTGCACAAGTCAATCACGTAGGCCTGAGCCCTAAACCCAGAGCCCTAAACCCTGAGCCCTAAGCCCCAAACCCTAAACCCCATTTGTAACTCGTGTTTTCAGCCTGCCTTCCGTTGGCTGGGTTGATGTCCGACTCGGCTTCAGGCGGTGGGATGATGAACTCCTCCCATAACGTTTACGGTTTCGGGGCTTTATATGTAAGTGTAAAAATGATCCCAGTGCTGGGGATCCTTCCCTCCCTCACTTTCCCCCCACCCCCATGGTATGGCTCTGACCCCTCCCCAGCCCACACTTCTCAGAAGTGCCAACAGTCACAGGATGGGGCTGTGGTCCTGAAGTCTGAAAAGTGCCAACAATGACAAGGAAGGGGCCTCCCGAGGTCGCGATCCTTGTAACTGTCTTCACTCTTACACTTCGTGCTGTTTATACGGGGGGCTATAGCTCTATGTAGGCTCTATTGTAAGCTGGCACTACATCCCAGGAATCTCCAAATAAACTTGTGGCCAACATCATGAGAATAATCAAGGCAACCGCATTAGAAGTAGGGGATACAAAGCAGGTCATCTACGAATACGCCCACCCCTTTAATAGACCATGAGAACCAGAGTGACCACGGGAGGGGAGAACCACCTACACCACAGGACCACACAGAGCCAGAGGGACCACAGGAGTGGGTGGAGAACCACCAACACACTGCAGGACTCACGGGAGGGAACCACCAGCACCACAGGACCACAAGAGCCACAGGGTCCACCGGGGGGAGGGGGGACCCACACCACGGGGGGCGGGGGGGGGTAAGCGATCCTGGATCATGTATATATATATATATGTGTACGGTCTAGGGGTAGAAGCGCCATTGGTGTGGAAGTCTCTTCAGCAGCAAGACTGGCTGCGCTAGAGTCAGCTTCCTTGCCTAGGCCCCCCAACATAAACGGTCTCTCTGCGAGGAATATATAATGATAGGGTTATGGTATACATATACATGTAATGACAGGGGGTGGTGTGGTGTTTAACATTGGTATGATGGGATTAATCATAGAAGCCCTATATACACTCAGTTTCCATGTCACTTTCCGTTGCAGTTTTTATTCTCTATTACATACCATATATCTCTGTACAGTCCCCATACCTCTGTTTATTTCTGTACAACCCGTATATACCGCTGTACGAATCCTATATACCCCTCTACAATGCCTTGAGATACCCCTACGCAACCCCCCCCTAAACCCGAAAACCCTAGACCCTTCTCCCCAAACCCTAAACCCCAAACCCTTAACCCTAAACCCCAAACCCTAAACCCTAAACCCTATATACCCCCTTTTGGGAGCCGTAGCTCTCCCAAGGAAGCTCAAGTCTGAATGGAAACTACTATAATATGAGGCTTATATCATATTATAGTAATATAGGTGTTATATAGGGGTTATATAGGGATAAACCCTAAACCCTAAACCCTATAGGGGGATTATATATAGGGTTTATATGTCCTGCCCAGCTCGAGTGATATCCCAGGTGCGTGTACGCCCCAAACGCTTCCGCACGGTCAGCACCTTTAGGGTTTAGGGATTTTAGGGTTTTTGGGGTTTAGGGTTTTTTGGTGTTTAGTGTTTTTTGGGTTTAGTTCTTTTTGGTTTAGGTTTTTAGGGTTTATTGAAGCAGTCTGGGTTTTGGGCAAGGGGGGTCAAGATTGGGAGATTTTGAAAGTTTCGGCGCCCTGCTTTCCGTCAAGATATTGAAGACAATCCTAGACCCCGAATAGGAACCCATGATCTTCACAATCCCTTCCATGTCTGTCATGATGGGTTCCTCGTTGCGTATGGATGACAAAGACCCTGGCTCTTTGGTCTGTGTAGGCGTGAGGCATGACGTAGCATTGCCTCATCATGACTGCAAGCAAACACTTGGATGAGGATGAGAGACTAAGGTTTCCACACAGCCGAATCACATCACGAGGAAATATATTCAAGCCATCGCAAAAGGGGGACTCCCCAAAAGGGAGGGAAACCTTTAACTTCTGCCCAAATACTATACTTCTCCCCGAGATGGGAGCCATAATTTGTGGCAGCCCTGAAATGTTGTCCGGTCTTTCCTGGACTTTGCGCCTCTTCCCGTGTCAGGTGTACCAGGCTGTAGAGGCCGGACTCCTTCTGGGCTTAGATTTTGGGCGAAGCGGGCGAAAGTTTGTCGCCTAGGGCTTGGGCGTAGGGCCTGTAGGGCTTAGGGTTACAGGGCTTAATGTTTTTTTGGGTTTGGGCTTAGGGTTTGTGCCCTTCAGGTCTTAGGGCGGGCTTACAGGGCGTAGGGTTCCGGCTTGCGCTCCTCATCAGAAAGAAGCTCGGCAATGTTGTTGCACCGAGAGTACAGGACAACAAAGGCCTCCACCTTGCACCATCGCTTCCGCACTTGCGCATGACTGTGTTCAAAGGCCAGGGGCTTCTTCCTACCTACTGTAGAAACCTAGATGAACACCAGCACCATTTTGAGGTCCACTTGAGGTACCCTCTACCAAGCATAATATGGTAGTTTCCCTAAACAGGGTGACCCTAATATACACCCCCAAATACTATAATCCTTATTATAGAACCCCTAAAATGGTAATCACCCCAAAGTATGGGAAAAATCCATATAGCTTATTCCCTTGGCACCCCTAAACCCTAAACCCTGAACCCTAAACCCTAAACGACCTACACTCTGCGGATGCGGAAAGCCCTGGTCATCAGCGGCTGGGCTCCGAGCACGCGGCGAGTCACGGATTTCCTGGCTGCTACTTGGAGGGTCAGGGGGACTTAGTAATAATGGAAAAGAAAATGGAAACTACTGTATATATGTGTATATATATATACATGTGTATCTATATAGGTTTTAGGGTTTAGGGTCAGGGGACTTAGTAATTAGGTTCATAATGGGGATAATTAGGGTTACTTTACGGGTTATGAAGGTTATTAACCTCCCGTATAGCCCATTGAGCAACCCTAATTTTCCCCATTATTAGGCTACTTACTAAGTTCCATGACCCTCCAAGAGCAGTTAAAGCAAGCAAGCTATATGGGTAGCAACACTCCCACTACTACTGAGACCATGCTTCTGGCACAAAACCCCCCCAGGAAGCTAGCCAGGATTCAACCGTACTGACCACGTTACTAGCAGACCAGCCACGCAAGTAGCCTTTTCCCCTTAACCTTTCACACTAGTCAAGAGGCACAATGCCTGAAAGCCCAGAGCACCAGCTCAGAACTCCTAAGCCTGAGTCTAAGATGCGACTCATCCTAGAATTCCTGCATGACCTTGGTATCATATCATCCTATAATTCCCATAATATGAGGTACCTAAGGTCATGCAGGAATCTTAACATGAATAACCTAGGCCAACAGTCTAAGTGCCAGATTGCAGATCCGCGTTGTTGGTGGTCGAACCAAACATGTGCGCTATGAAGGTTTCCCAAAATGAAGGGAACTTTTTTGGGGATCTCCAAGAAGGATTACCGTATTTTGGGGTATATAGGGTTCTCTTGTTTTGGAAAACTACGATCTACTGTTCCGATATCACTTCCCTTAGGGATCCAAATAGCCCAATGCAGGTAATATCTACAGACTTTAGGGCCCAATGTAGTTTTTTTTTGTATACTTGGATCCCTAGGGTTTTCTCTGCCAGAAAAAGGAGGATCCAATCTTATCCTACGTTGGCAACTTTAGTACCCCATTGGGTTATAGGGTATATATAAGAGGTGATATTGGGATAATGGAAGAGAAAATGGAAACTACTATTTATGCAAGCCGTCCGGTGAACACCTATTTAGGGCTTAGGGTATTGAAGAAATACGGCTCATTGGAGCTCAGTGTCTGTGTCCAGTTCCAGAGCCGTAGCTGGTAGTGCTTCCAACAGCCAGCCTCGGGTCGTAAGCCAGTGGGTTTAGGCTTTTGGGTTTAGGGTTTTAAGTTTTAGGGCTTATCTGTATATGGGGTATATAAGGATATATGGGGGGAGTATATGCGGTTATATTTTAGAAATAAATAGGCGATGCTGGTTACTCCCCTATACGACTGGAAAATTCAAAAGGAAAAAAGGTGGAGAACAGGATGGGAGCTACTATGTCATTTAGGGTGCAGGGTTTGGGGTCTGCTTTTTGGGGTGTAAAGGTTGATGTTTTAGGGTTGAGGATTCGGGTTGGTGTTTGGGTTGTTTGGAGCGCTCCTTTTTCTGGGCTAATCCGAGGTTTAGGGCTGAGTTTAGGTCTGAGGGTTTACGGCCAAGCGCTATACATACTTGGGTACTTGGGGTTTCCAAGAGTCGGGTTAGTATAGGGATGTTGGTACTTTGCAGTCTTTCAGGGGGCCCACTGTTTTAAAACCCACCCAGTTTTTGCCAGAGCACCTTACAGCAGAAGCCATGACTGCACATGCGTTGGGGTTCAGGAAGTTGAATTTAGCAAGGGTTTTGATCATCGTTCATACCCCGATAATGCGGAATGACCCTACTATAGTAGCTTCTCAAATTCCCAAGGTATGATAAGGTATTTAGGGTCATGCAAGATAATCATCCTCCCTCATATTAGAACCCCTACGATCCCTATTTCTCAAAACCAATATGTTATACTATTATACAATAGCACGGAGAAATGATTATCCTGTTTCACCCTACATGGATGATCCTAAACCCTAAACCCCTACCTCAAGAGGCCTCCTGCCAGGGATCCATGGTGCGTTTCCTATCTCTGAAACCACGCAATCTTACAGGCACGCGGGCTTTATCAACAAAAAGTGGACACCAATATGAACCCGAATATATCACAGCTCTTGTTTTAGAGGATCCCGAATTTCTAAAATTCCTACACTTTTTGGCTTGCATATGCCCTCCAGGTACTAAAGAGGTGGGACCTTATTTCCGAAGCTTGCAAACGTGGAGCCGCACTGCTGTGGTGTGAGCACCAATCTATGCGCGATAGATCGGAGAACTTTCACCTTGAGACTCCTTGGTTTCCATGAATATACACCAGTACATAAAAATCTATTATAGTCTATTATAGTTTAATGTATATTACATAATAATATATTATAGTCTATTATAGTGTAATGTATATTACATAATAATATATCATAGTATATCATAAAATACTATAGTATGTGACAGGAAGTATCTCACCATCAGCAGCATGCAAACCTGTGGAAACTCACGGTCACAGCCGTTCCCTGTGTAGGGATCTGATGTAGTTTTAGCCTAGCGTGTTTGCTGCCAGGAGAAGAACATTTCAAAAAGAAAGGTGTTGCTGCTAGCTACAAGCACTCTCTGGACCAAATGAGCCATTGTCTAAACTCCTAGTATCCCCCTTAATAATTCATATAGTACTTCCTTATATAATCCCCTATATAACCCCCTTTAAGGAATTTAGACTATAGCTCAAATGGAAGTTCCCAAAAATTAGGTCCCCCTAGGTACCCCTTAACCCCCTGAATCCTCGGTCGTCCCCGTTACAAAGACCCCCCAAACAGGAAGCATTCTGTTTGGAAACCGCCCCAAATATGGGTCTGCAGAAGTGCCCTCGCGCACAGCAACTTATCATGCTTGCTGCCTGGGCGCTGGTTGAAGTCCATCGTTGCTAGGGCCTTCCAAGCTAGAAATGAGATCCTTCTTCCCTCTGGTGCAGCCTACAGTGCCTACAGTAGGAAGCAATATGCAATTGATTTGAACAACTCTGACGAATTCCTGCGTGTCGTGTTGCAAACAGATGCAACAAAATTGCGAAGGCACAGGCACCCATGTCTCAACGCAAAAGAAAGATGTGGAGGTTTCCATAAACTATCAACAGCGGGCCCCAATATAGATCCCAATATACTTTGATCCTTACTCTAAGTACTCCGAAACCATGTGTGAGCATCAAGGCGTGGGTCTTTTCCAAAGTAAGGGGTGCCTTCTTGGGCCTGGGTGCTATAGTAACGCTTGTAATATTCTGGTGTCTATGTTAGGGCCTCCCCATTTTGGGAAACTACCACGTTGTGAACTGGGAGAGTCAGTCACAGCGTATTCGCACAGCCGGCCTGTCTCAGCAAACGAATGGTCCGGTCCGGTGTGTTCGGCGTTCCTGCAAGAGCAGCGAATCTCATAGAAATCCAAATAGCCCTAAACCCTAAACCCTAAACCGCGTAGGCATAATATCTACCGACTTTAGGACCGCATGTAGGTTTTGTTTGTATACTTTCATCCCTAGGAATCTGTTGAGATGAAGAAAAGATACATGATCTTGCTTTCAGGCTTCTGGCTCGCAGCGAAGTGCTACCAGCACACCCGCTGACATGCATTTGCCGCAGCCTATCTCCAAACCAAAGGTTCTCCAGTGCACAGGCTGTTCTACCATGCAGTTCAAAGTTTTGAGATTACTAGCAAGGATAGTAACAACCGTAGTAATAGTAGTATTCATAGGAATATTAGTACTTAAGAATAATAACTTAATAACAGTTAAAATGGTAATGCTCTAGTACTAACAATACCACTAACAATAATAATCATGATAAGAGTAATAGTAGCAATACTATAGCACTAACAATCCTAATCGTAATGCTTGTCTATAACCCTAGCCCTCCTGTGAATAATCGTAGTAATAGAAATGATGGTAGTAACGGTCATTATTCGCCCTTAGAATAGTAACCCTAACCCTTGATACCTAAACCCTAAACCGCTAATCCATGCCTTGCTCCGGATGGAATGGGGAGCAGTAGTCGAAACTGATCTCTGCTCTGGGTGGAAGCTGCACATCGGCGCTCCTGGCCACGAAAGGGAAGTTGAAGGAAGCCTAGGGACCCACAAAGCCCAATGTAGGTAATATCTAGGATTTTTAAGGAAACACTTAAGTTTTTTAAGGTAATATTTGAAAGCTAGGGGTTTAGGGTCCAGCGTAGGTAGTATCTACAGACCTTGGGCCCCATGTAGGTATTCTTTGTATGGTTGGATCCCTGGGGGAAGTAATAGAACAGCGCCGGATACGGAACCAGTGCACAAAAGGTCTCCTCCAAACGCGGTAAATTCCGTTTACGGAGCAATTCCTGATGCATTCGTGATCCTTGGCTTTGTGTGGACAGGAGATGCCAAAAGGCCATGCAGAAGCAGTTTAAGGTTTAGGGTTTGGGGTTTAAAGTTTAGGTTTAAGGTTCAGGGTTGAGGGTTAAGGGTTTAGGGCCTAAGCTTTGCAACAAGCCATACAGCGACTGTACAGGTCAAGGTTGACAATGTGAGGTGATTGGCTTTCAAACCACTTACTGGTGGTTAGTAGGGAATATGGGAACATTTTCTAGGGTTCATAAAAGGATTTTACTCCCTTATCCCGTATTGACCCCCTGTAAGACCATGCAGCGCAAAGCCCCCCTGAAACATGAACCTAGAGGCAAACTCTCAAACAACACTCGTTCGGACAAAAGAATCTTACTCCTGCTTTTGCTCTACACCCCTAAACCCCTAAACCCCGACACCCCTAAACCCCGAATTCAGGAAAGGATGCGTGCCGGGGCGCTCCATGCTTGCTCAGATCTGGCCTCCCCAGCCTCTTTGCTCGATCGCCTGAGACCCCATACTTGGAGGGTCAGGGGGACTTAGGAGTAATGGAAAAGAAAATGGAAACTACTATATATATATATATCATATAGGTTTTAGGGTTTAGGGTCAGGGGGACTTAGTAAGTACCTTAAGAATGGGGATAATTAGGGTTACTATATGGGTTATAGGGGTTCTTGAACTACTTACTAAGTCACCCTGACCCCCCAAGTAGGAGGAAAAGAGCTCTACCTGAACCCCCCAAAACTTACTTGGGGGTTAGTAGGGAATAAGGGAGTACTATCCCTACATAATTCCTAGATATTCCCATATTCCCTACTAACCAGCAGAAAACACAGTCTGTAGAATACTGTCCGTGCTGCCTACCAAGCCCTTTGCTTCAACCGCTTGTGCATTCTGAATAGGTCTAGCAGCTCAACAGCTGCCCAACAGAGCCAGGACTCGACTCCGGACAGATTTTTGAGGTAAAACCACTAGCCCGATGACTCTCAAAGTAGGATTCCCTGTGCCCACCTCTGACCTGTCAGCACCCTGTGCTCTTGACAAGCAACGCTCCCAATGGTTCACGATGATGAGATCGTCCAGCATCTTCCGATGTGCAGGCTCCGTCACCTGTAGGGCTGTTCACAATTCGAAGGCTGTGAATACAATGACGTACAGAAGACATGTTCGGATGCCGTGCTCTGAATTAAGGACACACAAAATCACATGTTTGAAGCGTTTTCTACTCTGGGCTTTACATGCAATTCGGAGTGCTGCTGTGTGAACAAAACGGAATTGGGAGAGAGTGCGGCACTTCAAGAGAGCAGCACTCACCGTAGTTTGAGCCTTCGAATGAAGTAGAATCTCTTGCAAATCTTGATGAGAAGAACAGCCATGTTCACACTCCTAACTGAAATGAGGGCGCATGCTTCATGGCATGCTTGCAGTGCAGGCAGGAAGTGTTTTGTGATGAAACTGCTGTTTGCTGGTCAACTTGTCAAGTGTCTATTGTCTCGCCTAGCAAACAGGAAGCTCAGTGTCCAGATAGTAGGGGAACGTCAACACACAATTGGTCCATACCCCATGCCTGAATCCATGGGAAAACCTAGTTATATATATATATACATACACATACACATACAAGCATACTAGGAAAACAAAACTGTGCAACGAAACAAGTGGGTGGTTCTCAAAATTGTAGCCCCTTTTGGTTATAGATTAACTATATTAAAGCACCTAGGGGTACTAAAATGGGACCCTAATTTGGGGAACTACTCATGTTACACTCATGCTATAATATTCTGTATACATAATATATCATAGTATACTACAAGAATAACTAAGAAGCTACTATAATACATTCTAATATCACTCCTGTGTTAGGGCTGTGGTCTAGGGTCCAGGATGGCAGCATCTGAGGCAGTGGACATCGAATTCATAGCGCCCGTCGGCACCTCAGCTGTTGTGGATAAAATGCGAATCTCACCCCATGGGGGTCATAGAGTATGGGGATTTTATGTGGACTATTTGCAAGGTTGTGAAGGGCAGGCTGAATGTGGTTGAGGGCGAGTGGCAGCAGCAGAGGGTTTGGTTCCGTACAGGATCGGATCCTTCTTTTGCCTTACTCAGTCGGTTCTGCCAGCGCACCACCACGCATTACTCCTAATGGTTCATGCAAGCAACATGCTGGGTTGAAGAGTAGCAGGTTGACGATGGCGGCCCGATCTCTGCAAAGCGACGCCTGATCTTGCAGATCCACTGACTTATTCTTGTGGCCACTGTCACTGGATAGGCTTTCTGTCTTTGTTTCGCTTAAGCCATGAGACGTGCAACTCTGGCTGGCAGGCCCCTTGTCAACCAGGTAGAAATGGCTGCTCTCTCCTCATTTACTCTCCCAAGACTACCCGACTGCCATCTCTACAGTGGAATTCGATCAACCACGTGGAGGTTGAGTTCTACCAACTCCCAACTCTAAATAGTTAGGATCTCTTTGTGGGCGTTCCCTACGGCCCATAGGCTTGCTGATCGGGGAAGCATTTGAAATTTGGCACCATCTCAGCTATTGCTGTCTTGTTGGGTTGGAGCTCATTAGCCACATAAGCTGGTCTATCCTTGAAGCCTGGTGACCGCCCATGGGAAATGAACAAGTTGCCTTAGCAGGGCACTCTTGTGGCTTTTGTGTGCGTGGTAGCTCCAGGAACTGCAAGCTGTGTCAGATACACCTGACTGTGTTGACAACAAGAAGTTTTTTTTTGAAAGCACCAACTGCACAGCTTCAGTCGCAGCGGCTTAGTCATGAAGGTTTTGGGGCTGCTGATCTCATGCTAGATACGCTGGTGACATGCCCCGTAAGAGGGCGTGTGCCCCGTTGTCGTCTCAAGCAAGGGGTCACGCAATGTCTGTTCTGAACGACCATGGACATCTTGAACACCAAGGGCAAATGTTGATGGCCTATTTGACTGCAAGATGTGTGCAATGGGAGCCGTTCACCAAGAAGGCATCTGCTTTGAATCCTAGGGCTTCATGCGCAGCATTGTTGCGGCATACGGCAGACTGAAGAATCCTGCCTGAACAGCAATATTTCTGTCTGAATGCACACGTTGGATCAGAAGAGATGTGCGCGGTTGACTTGTCTTTCCCGGATGCCTTCTGATGCACAGAGTTGACTGCGAGGTCAAAGCCACCTCAGATTCATGACAAATGGCAGATCCAAACGGCGGAAATGGCTTGGCACCTGGTGTTGCATAGCATGGCTACAAAATGGAAAAGGCCCCCACCATCTCCCAACCTACAAACACTTGCTTAAGAAGCATTCTTATCCTGTTCCTTGAAGAAATTTCAAGACACCTTCATGATGTCTAGAGTCTGGAAAAGTGACCTGAGCAACAAACAGCATGAAGGCCCAAACAACGTGCCGCTTTGCCAGGCATTGCAGAATGCTGTGGGGCTTAGACAGAAGTGCTGGGCAGGCTCCAAGCTAGCTCCTAAGACACGCTTGATGTCTCGCCCTTTCAGTAGAGCCGGAGGACCACACAGAAAATCAAACGGATCACCAAATGGAAACTACTATTTTTTGTTTCACAACACGTCGCACCACACCACGCTAAATATGACCAGCTATGAATCTAGCAGTGCTAATTCTATCCAAGGAACCCTGTCTTTGGATCATGTTATGAACTTCAGAGCACCTCACAGCCAATAGATGCTGTATCAAAAGCCCTATAGACACCCCCAAAGGCATAATTTCCACCATTCCAACTCTTTGGTTGCCCGCCTAGTGTGTTGATCTCGGGGACAGCTGGCAGCAGCCTGTCCACAACCTCCCCACGCCTGGGCCAAAAGACAAGAACTACAATTGATACCAAACCCTAGGGATCCAAGTAGCCCAATGTAGGTAGTATTTACAGCCTTTACGGCCCTCTGCCGGTTTATTTGTATACTTGGATCCTTAGGGTAAAGCCTGCCTGACCGTAGTATACTACGGCGTATCAGTACATGAAATCCCAAGATCTCGAGTACTCCGAGTCATGGAGGACGTCTGGTATGAACCCAAGCCAGCTTCACCATCCAGCTCAATCTGCGAGAGACTTGAGTTAGAAGTCCAACTGCGTGTACTTGGGGTTTAGGATTTTTATAGGGTTTAGGGATTAAGGTTTAGGGCTGGATCAAGGAAGCAAAACATGCCCAGTGGTGCAGCCAAGGCACAGCACAGGATCTAACTCGGAGAGATACCTGTCAATTTGGACGTGCAACCTTACCACTGGCCTTGGGGGTGGTTCCAAAGTTAGGAGGGACCATTACCGCTCCAATGCAAGCACCATGTTCACCCAACCAAAAGTGCACATTGACGACCCCTCAAGGGTCCACAGCACTGCGCCACTCAGTGGCAGGCGATGCCTTTTGTGCAGCAAACATAGGGACACGTAGCGTCTTCAGCCAAGGCAGGGCGCCACATAGTAAATCTTGAACTGACACCGAACAAGCGGGGAACAGCGTGTGCTCAGCAAACATTTTTTAGGTTTTTGGTGCTGCAGGAAATTAAGGAGGGTAAGGATGTGAGGATAATTCCTCCCTGAAAAGCATTGCTAATTCTCAACTGACCTCTGCCAGCCTTTTCACACATTAAGCGGTGGGTAGAAGGGAGGCCTTGTGCCTGGTTTTTTTAAACGTTCATAACACTCATGCTTGCACCAAAGTAATTTGACTGAACAACAGATGATCACTACCCGCCGCTCCAAGTCAAAATGTCAGCAACAGGAAGAGCCAGCATAGATCGTTGGTAGACGAATTCCGACTTAAGCTAACGCTTAGTCTACTGCTGCTTCACGAGCAGTGGTGGAGTTTTTTTGGGGGGGACTATTCTTAGAGCTTATGAAAGTATTATTGCAGGAATCCACCAGTCTGTCTTGAGCACCTGCCCTAACTCTCAAATTGAAACCATGGGCCCCGTACCTTAAGCCGGATCCGTATATACCTACTTTATAAGCCTAAGGGCCCAAGGTCCCCTACTTCAAACCTTAGACTACAACCCAAAACCCTAAATCCTAAACCCAATCCCTAAGCCCCTAAACCCTAATCCCTAATCCCGAAACCCTAAGCCCTAATCCTCAAAGCCTACTGAATTATAGTCCCCCTTAAGAAGATAGAATATGGCTTTGGGTGTATATTATAATAAGGTCCCCATATACCCCATATTCTATCTACTTAAGGGGGACTATAAACCCTAAACCCTATAAACCCTTAATAGTAGTTTCCATTTTCTTTTCCATTATCCCTACATAACTCCTATAAAACCCCTTTAAAGGGACCCATATTCTATCTACTTAAGGGGGACGATAATCTTCCGGGTAGGATGCCCGGCCTAGAAGAGACCCTGATCCCTCGAAGGAGCTGCGAGAATCGAATACTCCCTAAGCCCTAGGTTTAGGGTTTAGGTTTTAGGCCTAAACTTCCTGGTGGTAAGGAAGGAAGAAGGGAATATGATGCAGATTTTAGGGTTTAGGGTATAGGGTTAGTAGGGAATCAGGGAATACAGGTGTACAATCAAGGGTTGTATAGAGATAATGGAAAAGAAAATGGAAACTACTATTTAGGGTTGAGGAATAGGGGAATATACTCACCATATTATCCCTGTATGACATATTCCCTTATCCCCTACTGAGCACCAGTAAGTAAGCCCTAAGCCAAACTCTAAACCCTAAACCCTAAACCCCTAAACCCTAGAGCCCTAAACCATAAACCGCTAAACCCTAAACCCGAAGGCCGGGGGTAGAGACAGGTTTGACAGTTTCCTGAGCTTTGAGGCCTTTAGCCCACAAACTGACAAAGTGGCCGTCCAGAAGGCCACATGTATAGTAGATATGGTAGATGCTGTTTTCCATGTCAATTTCCATTTGATTCTCCATTCCTGGCATCCCTCTATCTTATAGAAACCACTATAGTATGATCCCAGAAGCCACCATCAAGTCCATTTGTTCACAAAGCCCAGCCTCAAACATGGGGAAGGTGATGATGGCTTCATCTTCGTCGGCAATACTGGACTCAGAGTTGAACTTACTGAACAGCTGCCGGAGCTTCCGCATGTGGGATTCCTTGGCAAGGCTTCAAATCGGGAGCTTACCTCTGGACTCTGGTGCAAGGTGATGCGAGGTATCACTGCATGCTGTGCGCACGGCGACCTGTGGATCCAAACGCCAAATCCCTAACCCGCCTCTCAGGGAAACGAAATATCAAAAACTGCCTTCTGACGTTTTCCTGCTTAGGATCCTTGTTCTCAAGGATGCTCTGAACAACGGCGGCGTGGTCATTCTGGGCAGATTCGATTGCAGAGTGGCAAAACACTCCTGCACAGCAAGACAGGCGAAACAGAAGAGCAAGCTGGCGAACCTAGAGGTCAAAAGTTTAGCCTCGTGGTCTTGAGTCTTCTTCATTATCCTGAGTATGAATACTGGTGTTTTCTTCATGAAGAGCACTACTGACTCAGCACACTCATCATCTAACGGAATCAAACGCGTAATCAGTACTACGCCTGAGCCATAAATCACTTTTGAGAGTGACCCTAGATCACACACGCCGTCTGCAGGTACTAGAGTTTTTGCAAGCTTGCAGCTCGTCAATGGGGACTACATAATAGTGTCGATGAGATAGGAGGACCCCAACAATGGAGAATCAAAAGGAAGATGAAATCGGGTTCTGTCCTGTGACGACGTTCAAAACCTAGGCTGCCATGGTTCTGTCTGTACATATCCTGCTGGGGACCGCGCACAAGAGGAACCAGCTCTTCCAAAGACTCTGCACCAGGACCCCTACTGATTGCAAGCTCTGATCAAGTAGACATGCAGTTCCTGTTCAGCCAAGCCGCCGCAAAATAGGAGAAACTGATGTAAAACAAGAAGACAAATATCCACAGCTGCGACCTCAGCTTTCTCGCGCAGCCCGATTCTAAATGAGAAGACATTTGCTGGATCCTGTCCGTTCTTGGATTCTTGAAGAAATCCAGAATACGATCATCTGTATTGCCTGCACTGCCACAGAGGAACCAGGCATTTTGGACACAACAAATCACTTATCAATTTCAGCATGCCATAACTGTATTGGGACCATGTAGACAGAAGTGCTTATCTAGCGATTCTGGCGGTTGTTCAGCCGTTGATGAAATTCCCTAGTCCCTGCAAACAACGCCTGAGAAACAAAAGAGACGGCTAGGGCACCTTGATGGCAAAAACGAAATGCAAAGGGTGCTGTTCAGCGCAAACGATTCTAGCAAATACTCTGCATGCTGCCTTTTAAATGCCAGCTATGACATAATGCGAAACACAGCAATGGCGTTTGTCCTCACGTAGAAAAGTCTTTGACAGTCCCAAGATCTTTTCGAACCCATCCTAACTGATGAAAGTTCAAGAGACTTCACAGACTCATACTACGCCTCATACCCCCAAAGTTCACGAGAATTCACACACTCATACCCCTTTCCGTCATGCCGGGGTGCATTTGCGCCAAGGGCGACAGCAACTGGTGGTAGCTAATGCCGTCCGTGATGCTCATGAATAGAGAGAGCATAGCGTCCACGACTGACCCGAAGCGGGCCTCAAGAAGCACCACCGCCGCCGCGACCGCCAACAGGAGCGCAGCGCATCATCAGCATGATCATCATCACCATCATCGGCATCATCACCATGAAAAGAATCATCATCATTATCATCATTATCATCATCATCATCATCATCGTCATTGTTGGATTGCAGGCACTGGTAACCTTGACGAGTTTCTTCCGCATCCCCTTTCATAACCTTACTAGCAGCATGTTTCGGCTCCCTGGAGGCGATCATCCACAATGTACTACCACGTTCTGTCAATCCAATGCCAGGGGGCAGGGCACTCAGGAGCTGGGTGGGCGCCGGCATTTGTTAGTACTGCCAGGTGGTTTTTGCACTTCTGTTGTTTCCTCCATGAAGGTGGCCCCAGCTCCCTCGAAACATCAGGCTGAGGCAACAGTTGGAAATCTTCGCGGGGCGTGAAGGAAAACGTAGTATTGCCAGAGGCTGCACTAGCCCTTGATTGCGGCAGCTGCAATCCCAGTCTGAAGAACCTAACTAAGTCACGTAGGCTTTCCTCTTGTTTCGATACAAGCCGGAACCAGTGAATCCAAAGCCAAGAAGGGACAAATCCCGGCCCGCCTGAAGGTATGCGCGCTGGTCCTCTAGCATAACTGATGACAGGTCAGTATCCAGCAGATAATCACTCCTGAGCTGCTGAACTTGTGGGGCTTCTCCTTTCAGAGGATTTTCAGAGGATTTGACAGAAAACTGAAAAGTTCCCGTGGTGGCTTGTGCTGGCGTTTAACTACATTGCCTGAAGCTCGAGCTGTCTGCTTACAGAAATGTGCAAGCATAGATCTTGTTAATCCCGATCCAGACTGAACGACCCTCCTCCCCCCCGTAGCAAAAACCCACAGCGGAGCATCTCTTCTTAGGGGAGGTCTTATTGTCAGGAACGATCAGGGACCTGCCTAACATCCATGATGACACCCTCGCTGCCGCATTGAGGAACTAAAAAGGTCACCAATTTAAAGTAGCCATCCTTTCCATTCTTTGGAAAATACCTCTACACTCTGCACGAACCTTTAGATAAAAATTGTGCAGGAAGAAAACCCGTAATTTTTTAGATCTCACTTTGGTGTGGGTGTGTGTGTATATATACAATTGATGGACACAATTCTCAAAAACAGAAAATCTAGTAACTCCAGAAGCCTCCCTATCCCTTCATTACCCAGAAGCCCCTAATGCATCATGAACCGGAATACCTCCCAGCTGACTCCCACTCACAGTCGTCTTACTCTTTGATTTGAAACGGGTCTTTCAGGATTTTAATCCTTCTCGGCTGGGCTACCACAATGGGGACGGGATGGTTATCCAGAGTCTGGAGGAATTGCGAACACTTAAGGCCTTGATTCCAGCTCCGCAAGATCCTATCATTGCCATCGCTTCGGCAAACTAGCAGTGACTGGTAATGAGCATGTTCATGGAAGGTCTAACCTCCTAATCACAACACAGCACCATACCGCACAGGTCCCCACCCACCACATTTGGGACTCCGCGAAGAATAAGAACTGTATTGCTGACCTGACCTCAACAACCCCTGAACAATCAACCCAAGTTCCCTGAAACCAGGCATTCTATAGTTCCGAATAGAGACCCCCATAATCCCCGTGCAATCCCGATATATTTCTGGAG